CACCAATGAACAGACAAATCAGCAGAAAACAAAATAAGGTGAAAAATGTTGACAAAAGTTTCAAGGTCAATGACCTTGACCTCCTAGAAGGTCAAGGAGACTTATGCATTATAAATCTAATCATAAATTTGTTCCCGTGTCCATCTGACATTGACCTCTGAAATTTTAAAAGTACACGGCAATGGAGTGTAATGATCATGAGGTGCATGTTTGAAAAAATTGTTCCCGTTTCCAACAAATTTTCACTTTCATTAGTACATAATTTTCTTAAACTTGTCAAACTCTGGTGTTATAAAAATGTTCCCACATCATAGAGAAATACTAAATATAGACTATTTGAAATCAATTTAGACAAATGAATCTAATTATTTTCATAAATGATGAATTTTTCATTTTTCATTCATGTCACCAAAGAACATTGTCACTGTGGGATGCCCCTGTAAGCATTTCTGTGTTGAAACTACAGACATAATCAAATTAACAAGTTTCACCAATTTAGATTATTCAAACTGGAATTTTCTTTCAACATTTTTTTGTCAGATTTTCTGAAATGTAGTAATTTGAGAAGGAAACATCTTTCATAATGTTCACACATTTCTTCTCTAAAAATCATAAACTGCCTTTCAAAATTAATTTTTATTTAACTTAATAAGGAATGTGTCCTCAGAAAAAAAGAAACAAATTTTCTTCAGAATTTCAACCCAATATTCACACAGTATATCTGATCAATAACTGTTTACCTGCTACATGACAATTTGATATTTTCCAGACATGTTTCCGCCTTTTTCAAAAGGATTTCTAAGACAGCGAACATAGAAAGCTTTATCATTTTTTTTTCTTTTTTAAAATTTGAAATCCAAGAAGGCTGCCAAAATAAGCACTTGAAAATGAGATACAACTAAATTATCAAGATTCATGTCTACAGAATATTCCAATGTGTTATACCAATACCTTGGATGAGCACTTGAAAAAGCCTTTTGAAAAAGTCCTCATATACAGGAGAATGTACTACAAGAATTAAGAAATGACAACAGCCTCCCAACAATAGCTTTTTCAATTCCCCCCACTCCTCATAGTTTTGTCAGAATCTTTTTTTTTTTTTTAACTGTTTTTGTATTTCATACTTCCTTTCCTGATTGAGTTTAAATTTAAATATTCTCAGCATATTTTTTGTTCTCTATAAATAATTACAAATTTAAATAATCAGATTCGAAAAATGAATGAAGTGAAAGTTGACATAAACATAATGCATGTTTTAAATGATTGAAAATCTCTTTGCTAAAGCAAAGTTCATCAAAAGGATTCATTCTTAAAAAAGAAGACAATCAAAGAAGTGGTAAGATCAAATCTTTCTTTCTGAAATCATTACAAATAATTGCAGTTTTCTATAAATTCACACAAATGAACACAAGCCTTTTATAAGATTCAGTATTCTATTAATATTTTAAGTTGACCAAACTTAAAATGTTATTAAACACATGAGTCTTTTTTAAAGATATAGCATTTTCTTAACCAAAGTTTAAGTTAACCAAACTTGAAAACAACTGGCAATGTACTAATATACAACCAACAGGAGACCATTTATCTAGATGAGACCTCTTTGAAAATTCATGAACTTTTTGCAGGGAGACATATATACAACACTAGAGGGATAAAAAGTGTTCTACTTGTAAAAAACATATGCATTACAAATAGGCTGCAATCGTTTTTTTTGTTTTGTTTTTTTTCCAAAACAAACTGTCGTGGGAATTTGTCAACGCAAGAAATTTTCAAGCAACATCAAGTACGCATGGACATTCGGTAAGAGTCACTGGTAACTATAAAGGAGATTCCAACCTAATCACCAACCCCCACCACCTCCCACCACACCCCACCCATCCCATCCCTACTCCACCCCTACTCCACCACCATCCCTAACTGGTAAACAAGGATTCCAAACAATAAAGAAATAATTTTTCTCTGAGTTTTCCAAAAACAAAACCCTCCTTCATCCTAGTTCCCTACAGGTGTCCTATATGTTCCACTCCACGCATCCCATCTCTTCAGCCTTACAAATTTATTAACTGACTCTCTGTTAAGAATAATTCAATTATCCCAATTCATAAAATTAGTAATAGATTATGAAACTAATGACAAGCAAGTGGAATAGAACAATTACACCCTGCAAAACTAAGAACAGCCCTCTTAACTGTCTTAAGCAGATTTCACAAGGAAACCAAGTTAAGTAAGAAATGTGGGCATGGGGAACAGAAGTCAAAGCATATCGTTAACCAACCCCCTCCCCCCAATTTTTTTTTTTTTTTGTAACCTTCATAAAACTGAAGGCACCCTGGGCCTGTTTAAGGAGTTCCTTGGTTGCTGAAATAAAATAGCTTTAAGGATAATTTAGAGCAGAATGGATATTCCCTCTACAGATCAACCAGTGCATAAGGGTAGTGTTGATTACAATACTAATGGTACAGTCTGTTCAGTTGCTGACTAGTTTCGTCATAACTACATGTTTTCTCTTCAAGACATACAGCCCCTAAACACTCCCACACTTTCTCTCTCCCATCAGGAAGCAGTCAACCGTTCTCTAACGTAACACTATGCTTTAAATTACATAAAACAAAACTCGGTTAGGAGCCAGTGATGCACAAGGGAGGTTGACCAAGTCTGACAGATGAGGTCGTCTGCAACATCACTATCTTTACTTACATGAGTTTTTCTTTTTTCTACAAACAGCTCATGCTACGACGCTTACATGCTGATGTAAACCTTGTCTTGAACACCATCAACATACAAAATATTTACACATTTGGCACATAACTCACACACAATTTCCTAATTTCATACTCGTGCTCAAATCAACCTTTCATAATGACATAATTTGTTTGTATGTAGGTAATTTCATCTGATAAACACCCTAAAGGACTGCGGTTACCATTCCTGACAATCCTTTTCAGTAGCTATGTAATTGTTGGTATCCACATGCCACCGCTTTCTCACATACAATATATGCTTGTACCAGGCAGTATGTTGAATGAGAGATGCTGGAATCCATTCAGCCTTCCTCTCCATATGTCACCAATGCGACATGTAATTTGCACTATCAACCCATCAAAAAGCAGACCTTCTCGCAGACTCCCTCTAGGCCCACACCCCTACACCAGCAGGAGCATTACACACGGCTTCCATCCGATTACTTCCAACAATTTACAATGTAATATTGTTGGTAAATGAATGGGTTCCAAATAGGTACAGAACATTTAATATAAAACCATGCTTATCTACAATATTGATCTTCAGGAGGCAAAACACCAATGATCTCGCAAACAAATGGATGCGGCGAGCGTAGAACAATTTCGGTGATTCCAGCGTAAAAGTGTATATGAGGTTAGATTGTGTCCCAGCGATAGTGGAACAATAGATATGATTTATGATTTGAAGATGTAGACAAGCGATTACCCACAATTCTTAGGTCCACACAACTAATGTTCTGTCAGCCTCTCCCAAATACTGGATAATAGGTGTTCTAATACCCATCACACCCAATCTCCACCATCTTGCCATTTAAAACACGATTGTTTCCATCTTTGTGTCATTTGTGCTGTGTTATTTACAGGCGTATGACGGCACCAAACAATTGCCGCTCACTTAAAGTCTCTTGAAGCAGTACATCATCAAACCTTCTTTGTCATTTTCAGATCTCTGTAAGGATAAGAAATCAAAATTTGATAATACGCAGAAATTCATAACCATTTCCCTGAACACGCATTAGCAAATAAATAATGTACCGCTCAAGCACCTAATTATCACGTTACTCTCCTTACAAGGGCTTCTGTATATTAAGTCTTAGAATCTTATGTCATTATGTTTTAAAACTCATAACTTTTGAAATGTTATAAAAATCCCGCTATTGAAATATTGGATTTAGGTTTGACAGGTTTGAATCTGTTATCTAAAACATAAAAAATGGAGGACATTGGTTATTATAAGGTAAGACGGAACGCATGATTTACATGCCAAATAATTACCTTCTTTGTATTAACAGTGCGGCTGACAGTAAAAGCAAGCATGGTTGGTATTATTGCAAACAGCAAGGCCGTCATCCTAGGGGACAAAAAGTATAGAATTATTATATCATTTTGTACAGCAGAAGTGGTGAAATATCTCATCAGACATAAGAAATCCACACACCCAACCACTATATAACCAACACGGTCATTTACACACCCGATATTACCCTGTCACACATTTTATGGGAGATGACAGAAGTTATGCAGTGTGAGAAATTTTACATTATCTTTAACTATCTGATTCGGCCTATGATCCATTTAGCATCTTGTCAAATTTCTTTTTTATAATTCCCTACAGAGAAACACTGTTCTGATCATGAATCTGATGACTTTAGCTCAGAGCTTAGGCATTCTATCCCGAAATAATTGGAACCCTTCATTCATTAATGTCAGTATCATTTTTTAATGAACATCAAGAAAGTGAGCATATCTGTACTCTTGGAGCTCTACTCACCAGCAGTATGGAATAGTCACAGAAATTGGGTTAGATAAGGTGTTCTGTGGTTTTTTCTCTTCAGTTCTACTGCTGAATTCTGCTCTCCATTGTTGGTGCTCCAGGTTTTCATAAGCTACATAGTGACTCCAATTTTCTGTCATGTTACTTTCCTCAACTCAGGGGATCAGCTTCAGATATGAAACTGGGTTGTTCATCCTGCTACTTTAAAAGTTCAAGAATTCTCACCTTGACCTTTTCTCACATGACCTTGACCTCCTTGATGTATTATGGGTAATCTACATCATGGTATCAAGGAAAAATGTCCCAACAGTTCCACATAGTCCTGTGCTAATATGATTCGATGAAAAAACATTGGTGTTATCCAGTTGTAGAAATTTAGGAATTGTATATGAATTTCCAGCAAACAAGCACTTGAACACAATAAAGCTGATATAGTTTCTTCACATAATATATAAAAATTGTTTACACTCACACTACTGAGGATATCATACCACACAATCACGATAGTCCTGTGAAATGTCCAGTGTTGGAGCAGGCGAGAATTTGCCAGAATCAAATGAAATGTTATTGAGGCCATTTTTTGGCCGGTGAGCTTTCTCTGCAGTTACATGTATTTGTACATTGGAGACAGGACTTGGCAAAAAGTCCCGGTAACTTGCAGGCTTGGAGCTGGTTGAAGGAGATCCTGGACCAGGGCGATGTAAAGAAAATGTTTGCATCTCCCGATTTTGTGGCCGTTGGAACTCAAACCACGATTTCTGAGGAATTGGGTCATGGAATGTACCTAAAAAGAATAAAAGTAAAAAAAAACATAAAGATCTCTTTTAAAATCTGATTATTTCTAATTTATACAATTATCACCTAAAACCAATAAAAACTTAAATCTGAATAATTGATTTTTGAAGAAAACAACAGTAATGCTTTCAAATGACTGTTTTTGAATTGCAGCGATATTCCAATCCTGAAACAAATTTGTTTTTCTATTTAATGGTTCTTCAATCCATTAATAATTTACAAGAAAATTTCCGGATTTTCTCTTGGAACCTGCTTTCCAAATGGTGTACAAGGTGTTAATGATAATAGTACTAGTTATTCAAAACATGAAAATGTTGATAAGGAATGGAAGGCATAAACTAGACAGACAATGCAGAACAGCATTAACACTCCAAAGCATTGTGCGAAAATCAAACATGATTAAATGGTTCCTCCATTAATCCCCTATGGCCTTGAAGCACTAAGCACGACAGAGTAGGGGTTCCAAATTAAAAAACAAAACATGAAAACTGCAAACCAGCAAATGCAAAGACACCTTTTATGTTTGGGATTTCGTGGTTTGTGAAACCCCTGATAATTTCTATGAGCACAATTTACAGCAAGCTTCATTACTCTTTGTCAGGCAATATGTAACCACGACATGCATTTGTAATACATTTTTCATCAAACAGTTCAGTGAAAAAATGACAGAAACTTCACAAAAACACAGTTCTGATGTTTGATATTTCTTAATTATCTGTCAGAAATGTCATGAACATTGACATTTGTACTGAGGCATTTGCTCGTTAGCAGTTAAACACGACAAAGGAACAGTTGCACTGTTGAATACACAGAAAGTACTGCTACACTCAGCTGAGTTGGATAGAGGTCACTAAGTACTAAGTAACAGATCAATTGTACATCCGAGGCTATAGTTTGTTATATTTCATTAAATCAACAGTTAAAAAATTTCAGTGTAATTACAATTCATTCTGAAATGCAACCTAGAATCAAGTTATGGAACATAACCATATATATTTTTTTTTCCAGATTGGACAGGTCAGAATACAAAAATGTTGTTCTAAGTTGGTTTTTAAAAAAAAAAAAAAAATGTATTGAAACATATAGGTTTCATTAAATTTTACAAAATGCAGGATACTCAGGGTGTCGGATTAGACAGGCTCACTAGTTCTTCTACAAAATTAAAACGTTTTTTTAATTTTCTGGTTCTGGTTTATATCTTTAGGCAATTTGTTAGTTTTTCAAATTACTCAACACACTTCATTTAAATCAATTACAAAAAAAAAATTTCTTTTTGCTTTCTTAACATTTTTAATCAAATTGAAAATGTAAGAATATTCTTAAAATAAGTTTCCAAAATTTCAAATATAACATGGAATTTGTGCTAAAATTTTAGTTACCATATCATATGATAGACAATTTTGAAACTGCTTTAAAGCATCACATCTAAATTGCACAAGCATGAATCTTAAAATAAATGCAATTTTTGCATATGTTGACAATATCCTGCCTCAAGACATTGATCTACAGGAAACAGATCAAGCCATACTTAATCTTTAAAGCTCAGACAAAATTTTACATATGATGGATTGAAAAAAAAAAAAAAAGTCATTTGAAAAACGTCTGAAGTTTCCTAGAAGCATTTTGTCCTCTTGAGGCCACAGGGGTGTTAATATCTGACAATGTTTTCCCAGACTTCAGACATCAGGTCACAGAACACTAATGTCAGAAATGCATTTCCTTCAATCATCAATTGACAATCTAATCTATTTCACTGCTCACTACTCAGTTACAGAACTCAATTTCATGCTCAGCCTAGTTATAAGAAAGAGCCAGTCTGCAAATGAACAATTAAGCAGGAGAGTTGAAGCTTGTTATCCAGAGCAACAAGAAGAAAAGGATCTCAAAATGAATTTTTGTTATACAGAAGGAGTATACTACAAGAAGAGCCATTTACAAATGGACAATAAAATGTGTCTGACAGAACTTGTTACATCCTGTAATGATCTGTTTGTTGGACTTGTACTGGTCAAAAGGACAAACAAACAAAAAGAGAACATGTCCAGCATCAAAGACTCACCACTGAGATGGACAATGAGTGACTGATCTGACCAGTGTCCTCTGAGACAGGATTATCATGGTTATTGTCCAGTGGAGTGTTTCTCTATCAAACTTACAAAACTTCACCATCTGCCTCATGGGGAGATTGGACAAAACCCCCCTGAAACCCCCTCCTTCTATTTATATGAGCCATAACAATACATGCCAGGTCCAAAAACACCTGACCCTGCTCTGTCTCACCTGTGAAGATATTGTTAATAACTACCTGGGCCGTTTTTATACTACATCAAACCCTTAATGATATAAAAAAATACCCCAAATTACCAGCAAAATCTGTGCGGAATGACGACTTAATAACAGGGCTAGGTGTATCACATGCTTTAATGTAGTTTGAACAGTCTTTCCATAAACCACGAAACCAGTGCTTATAAAATCAACAGGGTCACAACGCTTTTGTTTGGAATGTCCAGGTTTAACGAGTAAAACTTTCTATGAGAGAGTGCCAAACATATTGGTAAATATCTAAATCAATTAACGGAACACGGATGTAAATAGAGTAACACTACAGCTAACATCATGATGTAAGCAGTTAGCTGTGAAAAAGGTGTTCAGGTGTCCATCAGCGGTGGTCAAAGAGGGTGGTCGGGTGTCCTAAGTGTGTGTGTACACTCAAACTGTTTACCTTGTACGGCTTCCCATGGTGAAATATTGATTCAAACAATTACTGAGATAGCAGACGGTTGTGTACATTTATATTGCTGAAATACTTCTAAAGACAATTTTCATCCCTCAAATTCTCTCGGGAGCAGGTTTATTTTGACAAATATTGCCGGAAAAGAATTAAAAGTTTAAATCTGATCTGTCTTATCATGGTTGCTTTGCAATATGTCTGGCACCACAGATTTATTAAGAAAAACATATCCACTCTGCACCAAAATAAATCAATGCCATAGTGCTGAATATAAAAATATGAAGGTGTTGATGAAGAAAATTCAACGTTTTGATGAGTTTTGTTTTATAAACTGAGACTGGACAGTATTTTTTGTCATTATGACATGAACTGTTTGACAATGCCATAAAATGTTGTTAAAGATGAAAGATAACTATACATGTTTCAAGACAGTTCAACTATTTTGAAACTTCTATATACCCACCACACAAAAAGGACATATTATCATGTATTGCACAGCATGCATTAAAAACTTAATATGTTCAGCTTTCCCAGCAGTTACAAAAGACATGTTATAAAAGATTATGTTAAAATCCAGTAACAGGAATCCTAAAACTTCAAATTTTATTAATTGTTCATGATAAATTACTCTTCCACATTACTTCTACAAGGTATCACCCCATTAATAAAGTTGAGACTGTTTGTTTGTTGGGTACATTGCACCATAATCATCCATAATCATTTGAGGTGGAATCTCCTATTAATAGTAGGTGGCTACTTCACTGAACAACATATGGGAGGGCCATCACAGGCCATCAAAAGCAATAATTAGGATAAACTGTTAGCCTAGGTTGGTCCTTTTCTCAGCTTCCTGAGAAACAAACTACCATGGGCAGAGAGTATCAAACTGCCTGAGGTTACCAGTTCCCTATACTAACTATAAGATATGCTTACCCAGTTTCCCAAGGAACATAAACCATCACAGGCTGGTAGCCTGAAACCACACATCTCCGATTGTCACCTGAGGTTACATAGGCAAATGCTCTAACGAACTAAGCTATTGTGGCCCCCTAAGGTGAGATATGTCTATGATTGTCACAGCCAATCACAAGCAACAGTCATCTTGAATCCCATCAATTTTACAGATGTTCATTTCAGTAAATAAATCAATATCCCACCATCTCTTTCACTTCAAAATTTCAAGGCAGCAGTTAGACAATGTTATGCCGAGAATTTAAATTGACAAAGTACAAAAAGGGCAATAACTCAGCAAAAAAAAATCTCAAAGGTGATCAACTTTATTAAAGTCCCCATAAATTTTAAGGAGATATCTACTCAAGTTTTTATCCTTGAACAGACAGATGGCCATATACAGACAGACAAGCTGATTCAATTATGTAATCCACACACTTTGAAATTTGTATAGCTGTGTGTAGGGAAAAGAGAGAGAGAGGGGGGGGGGATGGGTAGGAGGCTATCATAAAAAGTGCCATTGACATTTAGAAATCTAAGGCAAGTGAAACTAATAAAGTGCAATGGTTTCAGAATGTTATTGGTAGGATTCACTTAGCCAATCAGCAAGTTTTTCACACAAAGATAATGTTTGTTATGAAAACACACCATGCGAGTATAATGTAGTAATTATGGAGGTCACTGATGTTGTAAATGCACTGAAATAGAAAACTCTGAAGAAGAAATTTATTTACTTAGATCTGGTTACAGCACCAGACCTAGCAGAACTTCCTAAACCAATATATACAATGTACTAGGGTACCAACAAACCAAGAATCCCTACATTTCATATATCACAGTTAATTCCAGTAAGACAGTTTCATCTGTTTTGGCCAGACAGATATGGCTAACTAAGTTTAAAGTACATATCAATCTTTTACATTTTGGAAAAATATTTGTTGTTTCTGAAATCTGTGAGTCTTTAATCAATACTTGAAATTATTCACTATTTTGTTGGTGGTAATAGCTGGAAGGAAATTGAAATGTTTGTTTCGAAAACATTTAATCTACAGTACATCAACCCTGCACAGTATGGCACAGTTTAATGTTAAACGTTGGTTAGGTTAGGTAGGATGTTAAAATACAAAGGTTGTATACGATATTTCTGGATTATAAGCTGTGACTTTTTACCTTGGCGGTTGGTCATGCAGCATATATACCAGTGCCGTTTATATGTGGGCGAAAAAAAAATTGGCAGAATGAGAGAAAAAAAAAGAAACTGAAGCATACTAGTACACCAGTACAGGACAGTACCAAGTTTTTCACAAGTACCTGTCCATCACATGTTTGTGACTGAAGCTGATCATCTAGAACTGTCATTTACAATCATATACAGGAAGATTTTAATATTGAAATAAAACTAACATTCTTGTGAATTTTATTAATCATACTTTTTAATATGAATCACAATAATATCTTCTGAACCTTCATGGTTGCTTCAGAAGCCATAACTGTATGTAACACCCTATATCTCAGCGTAGACAATCTTTGGAGGCTCCCAAGCCAAACGAGTTTGATAATTGCTAGTTTATATTTTTGAAACATATCAATAAAATAAAGGATTATCTGTGTATAATTCAATTGCAAACTTATATTTAATGTTTCACTGATGACCTCGATAAATTGCCTTCCATTCTCTATCATATCAACAAATTTTGGTCAAAATAACGGTTACCACATTGTAAGAAAGGGTGCAACTTAAATTTTGGTGCACCTAATACATGGAGCAAATCACAAAAATTGTTAAAAATTGGCTCTGTGGCTTATATACCAGTGTGGCTTATATACCAGTGCGGCTTTAAACCGTGCAGCTTATAACCCGAAAGTGTGGTATTCAAATTGCATTACATAATTAAGGGACCTGGATTCACGTCAAAAAGCTAAAAGGTTGAAGATGTCAAGACCAAAGCCTGGTAAAGCAATTTGGAATTTTTTTTTTGAAAAATATAAAATATCAAAATGATGACAAATATATGTATTTACGTGGACAAATCTGTGATATTTTTCACAAGGAACATTAATAGCACTGTAATTCTGTCAATCAGTTCCATAAATAAAACTGATATCATAGAACATCAGCATCGCCTTCTGGTGAGGCAGGGTTAACTAGAGGTGAAGTTTAATTAAGACAAATAGCTTAACTTATTACTAGTGTAAGGTCAGTTATTACATATGACAAAGATAATTACTTGTGGTGTGTGGGGGTTTCGGAGCATGATTTTCATCGTCACTGCCTCCACGCCCACTGTCGCTTGCATTTGTGTCTCCAGACACAATACTGTGATTGTCATCCTGTTTCTTAGGAAAATTCTTGCTCTGCAATGACAGAAAACATTAAGAAAGATTTACGATCAATTTCTATGAAATAGCTGTAATTTAAGAAACATTCCTGTTAAATTTTGTAACTTTTATGTTTAAGTGAAAATCTAGACAAAGATGACAAGTCATAATTCTCAACATGCCATCCAATTCTATTTCATAGCTTTTATTCAACAACAAAGAAATAATGATTTAATTAAACTCCAAAATCATAACTCAGCAAAGTGTTTCTACAACTTAATAGTTTGAAATCTGACTGCCTAATGAAGAAAATAGAAGTTTAACATGAAACTGAAACTAACACATCATAACTCTAACACAATGTATCAGTGTAAGGCTACTGGGTGGTAACTAAGACAAAACATCAGTTGTTGTTATAATCAGAGGAGAGGACATCTACACATCACTTAAATTTGAATAAAAAGTAACTTGAATGATTTAAACTGAAAATGAAATGAAAAGATATTCACTCATATCATAAAGTTACATTTATTGACCAACAAATCAAAGGCAAAACAACCAGGAAATGTTCTGTGTAAAACGTACGTCATATTTTTTTGTGTTATGTATTTGTTTCTGTACAGAAAAATATGACATCATGCAAGGAAGCCAAAATAATTTCTATCTGTTTTTGAATCAACAAATTGTGCCAACACTTCAATTCAATATTATCTTAAATTGTTCTAAAAATATGTCTTTCCTCTACTTGTTAAGCTAATTTGTAAAGTTATTGTATATTGTAAGATTGTATTTTCGATTAGGAAACAACAGAGCATTAGTCAGTATTTGGAATTACAAGTTTGGTCATATGTAGGCGACACCTCCAGGGATAAAGTCAGTAGGTACGTCACTCCTTCCAACAGACACCAAAAGATTTTAACCAGATTCCAAACCCTCTGGCGATTCTTCTTATCCTGTTGTCTATCTGTATTTTAAATCTACTACCTTTTCTGCTTCAACTCAAGCCATAAGTTGACAAATTAAATGCTTTGTCACCAAGTATAAATGAAACTCTGAATGGCCAAACAACCGTTATCAAATCATATATTTATGTGCTGAATGTCTGTTTGTCACACTGATCCTTTGTTAGCGGCATTTACTGACGAATTTGTACAGGATCTGATTGACAACAGCCTGCCAATATAGTATACCATTTAATGTTTACTTAACGGGCTAGTATACTCAGCAATAGATTTTTAATGAACTGACAACAAAATTAACATTGTGGTCAAATTTCACACCATATTTAGTGTCAACCAAACAAAATTCAATTGTGATTTGACCTAAGTCAATTTCAATCGATTTATTTATCTCAATTGAATTTCTGAAAGTCAGAATTTTCATTGAGACAAAATTTCAATAAATAAAGCACTGTCGTTTTTCAGCCTATCTGATTATTTTTTTCTCCAAAATTCAATTTTGGTGAAATAGCTGAATACTGTGTAGTGACTTATCAACAATTTAAGTATCAAATTATGACTATGTTATTAACTATTTATTCAAACCATAATAATGGGCCCTGGGAAGTGGCACTGTGTGATAAAAATTGTGAGACCCTTTATTTCAGCAAGCATCTAGCTTTAAGCAATGAGTAAATTTGTGGATGTATTTGAAATCCCACCATATCTTGAATTCAGATTTAAGTACCTTTATGAAATAAATATCAGTAATGATTTTATGTTGATATTATTTCACCTACATAATACAATAGAATGTCCCAATCAAATCACATGGAATATTTCAATAGTGATTTGAAGGGGTTCTAGCTAGTGTTAAGTGGTGGGAGGTTTAAAAAAATTCTTCCAAATTCCAACAGAGCAGTTCTTTTGCTTCAGATATTGAAAATTTAGACAGATATTTTTTGTACTCCAGAGAATCATGTTGAAAGCAACCTTTCACCAGCAAAAAATCTTGATAATAAATCTTCAAGGCATTTTACCCAGTGAGACTTTTTTTTCGTTAAGAGTGAAGTGCAGTATATTTCAATCAAATGTCAGGGATATGGAGATAAGTTGTTTCTATTTAACCGCTTGCCACTATAAACCGATACTGTCACTTACTAACAGGCTGATAAGCCCAGTGACCATCTGATCCGACTCACTCATCCCCTCAAATTCACCAACCCAGCAACTCCCAGAATCCTATCTTATGTTTCAAATGTTCATGAAATAGCTTTTAAGATTTCAGAATATCCCAGGATTATGGTAGCGTTTGCGGTTGAATTTGAAGAAAACTGGAATCTGCATCCTGGCAACACTAAATTCTAAACATAACTTCACTGTGACAAGCTTCTTAGTTTAGACAGCTAAAATAAAGACAAATTTAACAGATACATGTACGTCAGCTCTCAAATCACCTCGCAATAAATCAAATGATTTCAAAAATAAGATACAATTTCAAGACAATTACTAGTACTTTTTTAAACTCGCATTCCAACATGTTTCAATGTCTTCAGGAAAAAAAATGTAATTCAAAGAATTTATATCTTGTCTCCATGACATGAAGGGATAATTCAGCAATTTCTGGTGCATTCTTCTTTCTTTATGGAGACACAGCACAAAGGCACTTGTGTGAGAACCAATTAAATCTGCTCCATCAAATTTCAAATCCACATTTAATAGCTTTTTCAGTAGGCGAACCAAAGATCAAAACCTCAAACATCTTCGACAATAGTTGCAGCTTAAAAATCAACGCGACAGTTAGCCGATCAACAAAAGAGGTAGCTTTTCAATATTGTTCATGTTGTTACTGTAAGGTTTTGTATAAACCTGCCTTTTGGTTGTTCTCGTCTCTCTGAAAAGTCTCCAGTGGGGTCTATAATGGAGCCTAAATGGTACCCTGGGGGTTAGCATACAAGCTCCCTCAGAGCGGCCATCAAACCAAATCATTGCACTCATCTTATTTATGTCAGAAATAATCACATAATTTGCTGACAGGTGAAGAGCACATAATACCTGGTAGTTATGGAGTGTCTGAATGTTCCTAATGCAGCTTATTTCAGGAGCAGATACTGTAGCAATTTCAAAGGGTCAATGTGGCGCCAATTAAGAGATGTTCTATCAACTATGTTGGTCTACACTCCAGGAAATGATGGTCTCTGTCAGTTAGATTGGATTTTTTCAACCATGCATTCAGCTAGAATTCAACTGTTGATTCCATATAAATGGTTTTATATTAGTCACCTGTGGTAACACCCCTGGCCAATTGCATTCTGCAAAATCGCCATATCAGGGCACCGAGTCCAATTTCCGGGAATCATTTCTCCTCCAATTGATTTTTAAATCATACCAAGAATCGTTCGTTTGAATTCAGGATGCAGTCAAATATTGAAGTCTTCCTTATGTAAACAGATTTACAAAATTAAAAAATCTGTGAAAGCAATTTGAAACACAACAAAATGAATTACATGGTTTTCCTTATGATGAACCATGCCTGTTTCACCCTGTTACCTGTTCGATGAGCAATATGTTTTCCTCAAGGATATTAAATCAAGACAATTTAATCCTGCTTGAGATGAACCACATGGGTGAGGGCATAGTTTAATTTTAACACAAATGAAATACAACACCAATATAGTGCTACTTTAGGTTGTATACAGGTTGCATCCAAGTGTAATTGGATCTTTTTCCTATAAAAACCATTAGATTTCAGGTTTTGATCTGGTTTCTTAAAATTCCAAGATCTTAAAGACGACATAATCATGGAAGAGATTGCTGGTTGTGTTCAATACATGAAACTTGGTTGTATGAGAGAGACAGGGAGTTATAGCACTCCATTAAACTCTTCTAAAACTAACCCAACACTAATCAATACTCTTGTCTGAGGGACAACAGACATGAAACCCACAAATTTGAACCAGAAATAATCCCTGTACAGTATAGTATATGGCCTATAAAAAACTTATGTTTGTTTTCAAGGGAGGCACTTATGGCCCCTTTCTTACCTCTTTCAGTGACAGGATAAATAGTTATGTCCCTTTTTCATACATTTGCCAAAGACTGTCAAGCCAGTTGTGTTCCATTTTTATACCTCTACAGTGACTTGGGAGTCATTTTGTCGCCTTTTTTCTAATTACCTATGACTGTCAGGTCAGTTATTCCCCATCCCCATTTTTTTGTTTTATTAAACTTTGTATCATTCAGTGACCACAAAGTCATAGTTGTCTCTTTTTATAGCAAAACTTGGTGGTTAGTTATCTCCCCTCTTCATACATAAGACCAAGTAGTCAGATTTGTCCCCTTTTTATAACCACTACAGATGACACTAAAGTCAGTTATGTCCCCTTATTCTAAAACCAATATCCTTTATCAGAAAGAATGAGAAAGATCAAGCCTGGGAAGTGTAAAATGAAGAAAATACAGATGTAATTTTATCTGATAATGACCACTACATAACCAGGTCTTCAGACCACGACTTTCACCCAACAATAGACTCATAACGGCAACATCAATTTAGGGGAAGTATACGATAGCATCTCAGAATCACATAAACCCAGACTGAAGAAATGCTTTGTATGTTAGGTTCTTGCCAAGGTTCCCAGCTGGTGTGGACAAAACCAACAGGTGAGCAATTAACATTGTTACTGACACAGCGACTCCAACCAGACTCAAAGGAGTTCTCAGACAGTTACTGCCCTTCAGTGGAGCTCTTCTATCTGTAAGGTTGACTTGTTGTGACTTGTGAACCTCAAATTACTGATAAGAATTGTGGTCACTGCCCCAAGTTGTCAATGTCAACTATTGCATCCGATTCTCCCGTGTAGACTGCCCAGGACATCCAGCACTAGAAATTCATATAATTGTGAAGAATTTCTCTGTCAAACCATAAAAAGAACATTCCAATCCTGAAATCCCTGGGCCATTTTTCTTGTGGAGGCTATAAAAATCTCTCTTGAAATCCTAACCATTTGTTTGTTATTTCTTGTAAATTTCAAGATTCTAATCTGGAAGACATAAAATGGAGAGAGGATTCCATGACAAATATGGAATGGACGAAGG